CAACACATACAAATATCTACGCATATGCTTATGATGCGGCCTTGATAGTGCGAGGAAGATCTCGTGAAGAATTGCAATCCAACTGCAATGATACATGCACGCTCTTCCACTCTCTGTGTACATCACTAAAACTAACTATAGCTGATCAAAAATCTAAAGTTCTGCTTATTCCTAAAAAAGGAGGGTCACTGGTGCGGAAGACCACGTATTATGCTCAATGAACAAAGGATTCAAATTGTTAAAGAACTGAGGTATCTGGGTCTTATTTTTGATGAAAAGATGACCTGGATACCTCACGTAATTGATCTCAAGACCAGAACATCGGTAATTGCCAGACGGTTGAAGCAGCTACAGGGGCATAAATGGGGTCTTAACCCACATATTCAGAAAATTTTATTCAAGACAGTTATCGAAAAGATTATTACGTATGCAGCAGCGCAGTGTGGGCATTTCCTATGCAGGGGCCGTAAAATTAGACATCTGTCAGCAATCCAGAGACCCTTTGCTCTAAACATAACTCGTGCTTATCGCACAACAGCCTCTAATGCAATCAATGTTTTAGCGGGATTATTACCCCTCCACTTACGAGTTGAAGAAGAGGCTGTCAGGCAACTCATCAAACAGTTACGGCGTCCAGCTTACTTCTCTGATGAATATTTCCTTCCAGAAGAGTATGAAATCCCGGCTCCTGATTTTCGTACCCATCCATCATTTAAAGGCATTGGTGTTCGCATCCAAGTTCAGCCAACTGCTACAGCTCGCTCTGCCTTCTCAAATAGAAATTTATACAGACGGCTCGAAAATCAACGAAAACACAGGCAGTGCTTTTGCTGTTTTGCGGGATCATATAGTTACACATCATTGGAAAGGTCAACTGCGCTCTCAAAATTCAGTCTTCCAAGGTGAAGCGATTGCTATTGCACAAGCCTTACGCTACTTAATCTTTTATGGTATTAAAAAAGCAGTTATAAAAACAGACAGTCTATCGTCGTTGCGTGCTTTAGGTAATCCTGACCATCCATCTACCATCATCTAAACCATTCAGCAGGACCTAAGAGAGCATTTCCCCCATCAGCTTAAACTTGAGTGGATCAAAGCTCATGCTGGGCATTACGGAAACGAAACTGCAGACAGTCTAGCCAAAGAGGCAGCTTCAGGCAATGCAGATACTCAAGTCAATATCCCATGGCCTATTTCTTATCTAAAGAAATGCCTGAGATTGAAGGCCATTGGACGATGGCAAGAGGAATGGGACGAGGGCTCAACCGGTCGACGAACGCAGTATCACATAGCGTATGTGGACACTGACCGTATCATTTCCAACCCTCAGCTCGTTCGATTTATCACTGGCCATGGTCCATTTCCGCAATATTTTGCAAAACGCGGGCTCAGCCATACTGAGTTCTGCTTCTGCGGAGATATTGGATCCCCAGAGCATTACCTGACCACTTGTCCATTGACATCTGATCTTCATATTCAACTGCCAAGTACCAATAGGCTGGCCTTCTGCAAATTTATCATAAAGCAGAGATATCTGATTACAAAGATTGTCAATTTAATGGACAAACTGTCTGCGCTGGGCATGGACTTATGTCAGACAGCGTAAATTCTCCTGCTGCCATAAACGTATGCTCCGTATGGATTATATGCAAATTTGTATCAACAATATAATAGTCTTACAACAGCAAAGTATAGTATCGGTACTAATCAGTATTGTGTCAGTATTAATACCAGTAAAGTATTGTATCAGTATTGTAACATTTAAATATTATATATCCACATTTGTATCAGTAATGTAACAGTCGTAATTGAGTAAAGTATTGTATCAGTATCAGTATTTCCCATTTACAATTAATCACTATTAGTCAGTATTGAATGAGTATTAATACCAATAAAAGTGTTGTATGAGTATCAATATCAGTAACGTATTGTATGAGTATTAATATCAGTTAAGTATTGTATGAGTATTAATACTAGTAAAGTATTGTATATGCATATTTGCTCATGCATATATCGCATGAGCAATAAAAACAGTCTTACAATCAGTAAAGTATTGTATCACTAATATATCAGCCTTGTATCAGTAGTGTATCAGTTATATTTCATCAGTAATGTACAAGTAATGTAACAGTAGAACATTGATCTATGATATTTTAATTCTCATTTTTTTTTTTTTTGGGGGGGGGGATCTCTGTAACGTATAATTTCGTGGATTTATTTACCGACTTGTGCAAAATCATTCCCATTTCATCAGTATTAATATTCAGTTTTATATCAATGTATCAGTAATGTAGCAGTATTAATCAGTGTTAATATCAGTACCAGTATTATATCAGCCTTTAATCAGTTCTGCATGTGTCATATTTGCATCAGTAATATACCAGTAATGTATCTTGAATATTAATCTGTAACTCTGTAACATGTTATATTGTATGTCTTGTCGTGCACGTTGATTACCTTTCAGGTGGCATTATGTATCTTGAAGGGGTGCTATAGATAGTACAATAACACAAGAAATGTAACAGTAGAACATTCATTTGTGATATTTTTAATTCGCAATATTTTGAGTCTCTGTAACGTATTATTTCGTGGATTTATTTACCGACTTATGCAAAATCATTCCCATTTAATCAGTAATAATATTCATTGTTATATCAATGTATCAGTACTGTAGCAGTATTAATCAGTGTTAATATTAGTATTATATCAGCCTTTTATCAGTTCAGCATCTGTCATGTTTGTATCAGTAATGTACCAGTAATGTATCTTGAATATTAATCTGTAACTCTGTAACATATTATATTGTATGTCTTGTCGTGCACGTTGAATACCTTTCAGGTGGCATTATGTATTTTGAAGGGGTGCTATAGATAGTGGTGGACGTGGTGCTATACTAATTAACCGTTTGATAAAGGGATAGTGCCCAAGTCCTCCGTTCTCTCTCTCTCTCCTGATGAAGGCACGTCGAAAACCAGAGTTTAGACTGAATCGATCTCATCTGTAAAGAGAACAGTTCGCTACTGATGCATTGTCAAAAATCGATGTTCTTTGCACTAAGCTAAATATTCTTTTGTGCATAGAAGAACGAAGTGCCCTTAGCAAGTCTTCTTGCAAACAGAGAAGATTTTAGAGACCTATGTTCACCTTTCTCCGAAGTGTAACTGGATGAGTTCTTTTTTTTACCTACGATAGCGCTTGGCCACCTAGGGGGAATCTGATTTTCTGGAGAGTGAGGATATTGACTGGATGGATTTGCCATTCAGATCTCCTTATCTGAACTCTACAGAACTTGTCTTGGGAGGGCAACTAGCATTCTTCTTTGCCCTATCCAACATCTTTAGAGTATGAAAAAGAGTGCCGTTGCAGACGTGAGACTTACCGCCATAGGCACTCATAAACTGCCTCACTTGCAGCATGAAATCACATTGTAAGCACTGTATAATTGTTACACAGCAGCCTTCTGCCCTATTACCTTACTTTTTTGTTCGATCTTGCAACCTATGTTTTAGACTTTCTTGTACTGATAAGCCTTAAGCTTCGTTCAGACGGGTGCGTAAAGGCGTAAGTGGTTAAAGCCGAGCTCCGTTGCCAAGGCAACCAGTCTGTGCTACGTCACAAAATCTGGTTTAGAGCTCGTGACATAGGGTTCAAAGTTTTCAACTTTACGCCGAGTTTGGGATAAGCGTCGATCAATCAGAGCGAAGCTAAAACGAAGCGGCGTTCTACAGAAGATTTCGCTGTCACGAAACAAGCAGAGCGAACGCTTGAAGTCAATCGAGCAGGAGAACAGCGCGGGAAAGGTGTAGATACACCCACGCATGCGCAAATTTAGCTTCTCCCATTGGCCACGGCTTACACACCGTTCTCGCAAGTGTGAATGGAATTCCCGTATTTTATGCCCTTATGACTACGCCTCTATGCACTTTACGCCGCCGTCTGAACGCAGCTTTACGCACGATCATGCTCATGTACTCTGATTCTTGCATGGTATAAATTTTGTGTTATGTCAACGTATGTCCAGACCAAATTTCCTCCAAATCTGCCTATCAATTCTGGAAATAATCAAATAGATGAGAAAAATGCTTATAGTTTTGAACACCAGAGGATTTGTTAAGATTTTTTCTGCTCCCTTTCAGCATCGCAGGTTAGCAATCTGATCTTGGACTCACTCCTAGTAACACAGTTTTTTTTGGTGTGTGCTTTAGTATTAATATTAAGCATCGCTTTCTCCGAACCTACGTCAGATAAGATTCAAAAGCAAAATCACAAAATATTTAAAAACAGCATATCTTCAGCCTTGGTTTGCTACTCGGCAAAAGAACTATAAAATCTGAAAGTTAAATATTTTACTCTTTATTTAATGGCAACACGCCAGAGCGTGGAAATAACAAGCATTCTTTTGAGGAAGTGCTACAGTTATGATAAAAAAAGGTAACAGGTTGCTATAAAATAGACGAATTTAATGTATTGCAATTGGAAGTTTACGTTATGTACTAAAATTTTATCTTATGTTCTGCGGAATGGAAACAGTCTAGTGCACTAGGGATAAAAATATTTTATTTTGAGCAGAGTTGCTATTTCTTGCTTTCAAATCGATGAGTTTATTAAACAGGAATTCATTTAATTTGTATGAAATATGAAATAAATTAGAAACTGATTCGAAATTCAAAATTCTGGCTTCGAGTGCCTATGTTCGGTCGGAGGAGTACGCGTGTTCAAAACTTGGTTGCTCTAAATGCTGCCATTTTTTCGCAGTGCGAGGAGCATTCAAACATACATACAAATTCTTCATTATTATTATTTTTTTAAATAATACATCGAAATAATACTTGGTGGCTACAATCTGACAAGAAAATTTTGAGACTAATAACACCTGTGGTGCTAAAAATGTAATGGACACACTAACTTTCTAATCCTATCCAGTTTTCACATCTGAAAATTATTATGCATTATTTTACTTTAAGATCTTTATTTAACGATAGAAACTTCATTCTTCATAGGTTTGGGGTTAGCTTTCATTGTCTATCCTGAAGCTCTGGCAGCCATCAAATATGTTCCCCAGCTGTGGTCTGTAATATTTTTCTTTATGCTGTTTGTCTTGGGTGTTGGTAGCTCTGTAAGTATAGACAGTTAACAACAATTTTTTATCTTTGTTCTTATCCTTACTATTTAACTGCATTATGGCCTTCGTGTCCATATTTACCTAATTATGTATTTATTCATTTCAGATGTCTATGATTGAAACTATTTTAACTATAATAAAGGACAAGTTTCCAGTGCTCCGGAAGAAAGAGTGGCTACTTGCTATGGGAATCTGTTCTATGTTTTTTGCCCTTGGAGTACCATTAACTACCAATGTAAGGAATTTTATTAACTATAACTTACATCACATCTACACTGCCTAAAGCAGTGGTCTCAAATTGGCGACTCGCGGGCCGCATAATGCCGCCGAAGCAATTTCACGAGGCTTGTGTAACTGATGAAATTAAATTGATTAACATTATTAAAAGTGTTATTACTATGACAATAAGAATTAAAATGTTGTGAAGTTACTGAAGAAAATATTACGATTTTGATGATTTTATTTATTATTATTTACATGTTTTGCCCCCAATACCCTACCCGGAAGGGAGGAATGTGTTTGTGGAGGACTTTCTAAGAGAAACTGGCTCGTATTAACATGTTACACATGGGGAAAACAACGAAAACGCCGATACAGCTAGCCCGTTCGTGGGAATCGAACTACCGGTGTTAGGGACTTTAACCGCTCGGTAGCTGGTGGGTCCAATTTTATATTGCTTTCAGTACGATTAAAAATTAACTTGACTAAACACCTCAAAAAATCTACAAAGCTAATTAATTTACACTGTGAAATAAGTCGTATTCAAATATTTTAAAGTAATAGTTTGTTTAAATTTTTTCGTACTTCTCAAAAGATAAATATCCTCAGTAGCAAATTTTTTCAGCAAGAATAATCGCTTTGTTCGAGAGTACATTTATATGTGGATAGTCTTTTTTGTTCACATTTGAAAATTAAAATTTAAAAAAGAATCAGATTGACCGAAGAGCATCTACAGTTCGCGATGAAGATAGTGTCTCGCAATTTTTCTCTAAGGTTACGAACTTCAAGAAAATCCAAATGCCATGAGGTTTTGTAACTGAAATTTAGTTCTTTGCATAAAAATACACATAATTTTTCTGCATATGCCAAAGAAAATTTAATGAAGAAAGAGAATAGGTTGTTGTTATTTATTCTCAAGATGTGTTCCACGTGGAAAGCTTTCGTAATTTGTTTTTAGTTTAAGATAAAATCAAGTTATTAAGTGGTTCATTCAATACATTAGAACTGTTTGAAATAAATATCAAACTCAAAATTTACCTGTCAATACACTTGAATTGCAAAATGTTACAATCAGAAATTTCTTGGAAACATCAACTTCAAAATTAATTAAAACATTTTTATTTCGTAAAATCTTCCTTTTTGAAAGGGGGATTTTCCCCGTCAGCTACCTTCAGATTATTCATTCAGCTCGCGTGCAATTGAGACCACTAGCTTAAAAGTACTACCCATAAATTTAAATTTAAAATGTTACTCCATAGCTAAGAAAAATTTGCATAATAATTCCTTTTTAATCAGTATGTTGTATTGCTTTAATTAATATGCCACACACGTCAGTACAGACTTAATGTCAGTTAAATTAGTATTAAATTATCACTGTAATATAAATTGCTATGACAGCAAAATATTATTGCGATATTAGTTATAATAATTAATTATTAAACTACTAATTACTAATTACGTCCCATACGCAGCATAGTATGACAGAAAGTTTCTCAAACTGTTAACGTAAATTGTTTTTCTCGGTGATAACAGCCTGTAAGACCGTACGTTTTCGCCTATATGACGTAACATAAATACTATTAATAATTTACTTTTGTTTTGAAATAATGATATCTGGTGTAACGGATTCAAACTCCCTGCCTTGGGCTGTTGGTCGCGAAATTTAATGCAATTTTATGTAGCCCGCGGATACGTAAATAATCATATAGTTTTACTAAATATTTTTTTTGTAATAATACATTTATGTTATCAATAGAGATTCCGATTCGAAGACGAGGTGTTATCGAACAGTCGAGCTAGTGACTAAAAATGGGAAACAAATTAATTATAGAAAAAAGGAAGTGCAAATATTTGGCGCTTTTAAAAGTTAGTGTAACACAGGGCACTAGCAATAGAGAAACACAGTGACTGGCAATACTAAGGCGCACATGCAGTAGAATTAAAAAAAAAAAAAAAAAAAAAAAAAAAATACTGTAAAATATTACGAAGCATTAAAAAATTCTGAAGGCCCACTAGCGGCCGAGCGGTTAAAGTCGTTGAACACGGGTAGTTCGGTCCGAGGTTCGAAGCCCGCGAACGGGCTGGCTGCATGGGTGTTTTCGTAGATTTTCCCATGTGTAACGTGTATACGAGCCAGTTTCGCTTAGAAAATCCTCCACGAAGGCATCCCTCCCCTTAGGCAGATAGCCCTCGAGGCATTACTGTAATTAAATACATCAACATCATCAAAATTCTGAAGTGTTTCAAAATAATAATAATAAAAATAAATAAATAAATAATAATAATAATAATAAAAAATAAAAAAAAAAAAAAACTCAGAGTTTGTGCTTTGAGAATTGCCATCGGCCTTTTGCTATTCATAGGATTGTTAAAATCGCAATTACAAATTTTTATGACACAGTTGCTGATTTTCTCTTGGCAGTCGTGAAATTTGGAGCCAGATGGCAATAAAGATTCCTTAATTGAACAATTTTGAGCTCTTCATGATTGCGGTTATTTCTAGCATACCAGGTAAGGTGAGTTTGTTATGTGGCACAGAATACAGTTCTGAGCTATTTTCAGTCTTTTACGATCCGTTGTACATGAGACTAGACTTACAAAACTTGGAACGCAGAATGGATTTATAAATGAGTGAATTGTTATCTAATAGATAAAACGCTGTTTGGAACAATTAAGCGATACTACCATACTGCCTGGGTGACTTGTATGCTTGTACCCACGCCACGCGACTATATTTTATCTAGTCGCGTGGCGTGGGTACAAGCAGACGAGAATTTCCCATGTTAGTACGGTCAGTAAATTCAGTTTGTAAGCCGGCAGTTGGTGGTGCTTCAGTAGTCTGAAATCTAAGATTTTCCAGTTTAAGTAAGTTATTAATTGATCAATTCAACATACTGAAATTACCTGAAATAAATATTAATATAAAATTGAATATTTAACTGTCGGTGCGTTTGAATTAAAAACAAGTAGAAATTTCTTGCAAGTATCAACCTTCGGACTTCAGATAGAAAAGGAATAATAACTTAAATGCTTTCCTTTGCGTTATTATTGTTGCTGTTTAAGTATGTTCTGTTAAATAGTAAGTAACGGAAATTAAAAATTTTATTTATTTATACATTTCTGTGTTATTAAAAATGTTTCTAAATTTTGTTTAAAAAAGTGCTCTCAACTGCTTTCGGTTCGAGCCTTCGACCAGCATGCACTTGGAAATTTCTCCATGAATGCATCCTTACCCTTTGGCAGATAGCCCTCGATTGATTTGCCGTAATCATATAAACTAAACCAATCGGCCGTCTTGAAGTCTGAGGCCACTGATTTAGAGAACAAGTTTATTTGTTAAGACAATTAGTGCACACATCTTTGTCCTTCTACGTCTTCACAATCTTATCCATGTTTCTTCTCATGATAATGACATGTTAACTTTCGCTTGCATCAGTGGTTCTCAACCTTTTGATTAACGCGTACCACCTAAATAAAAACTGAAAACCTTTAGTACCACCACTACAAAGTATTGCTACCACCACTACTCTTTAACAAAGTTCAGACTGTATAAATTCACGCGTGTTAGAGAAAAAACTCAATCAGGATGTTGGGGTTTCAATTTTTGAATTTAATAGTTCAAAATACTTTGCTTGTTTGCGTACCACCTATTTTTCTCTCGCGTGCAACCAGTGGTACGCGTACCACCGGTTGAGAACCCCTGGCTTACATTATTCTTGTATTCCGATAGCAGTCACTGTAAAACCGAAGAACAATTGGCTGTGCTCTTGATTTATTTTTAGAACTCATCAATTTACTTTTATAGATGACCCGAGAATATTTATATATTTTGATCTATGTACGGTAAAACGCATGCAATATATATGTAACACATGCAATATGTATGAAAATTGATAATTTGGATTAGCAATGTTTTTTAATTATCCGTGGGCTGTTTCCCGTCATTGGCTCGGATAATCGAGAGTTCACTGTCCATCATTTTCAGTGATTATAATATTCTGTTAATTTATACAACAGCATAACCGCTGGAAATCATCATAATGGATTCCTGAAGTGGTCAAGTCCTACTCGTGGTCTTTGGGATATAAGTGCCAGATATTTTGGTAGCATTTTAATTAAGAATTTTTCTTATTTAAAATTGAAGAAAACCTAATATGTAAAAGTATGTCTTATTTCCCACCTTTTTTTTTTACTAATTGTATCGTCCGAAAATCGACAGGGGAGAATCACGTGAATAATTTAGTTTCTGAAGGAGGCGGTTACAGTAATAAATTAACAAATGAAAAGTAGTCATGAATAAACTACAGGTTATTTCTTTAAATATTTCTGTAAATCACAGTGTTGTTTCATTAAATGAAACCCATATTCCAGTCGTAAACCATACATAAAGTTCAACAGTTAGAAGGGAGAAGTTCGGCGTGGCCTTTCGCATGTCGTATGCGAGGGTTTGTCTTTGTTAGTATGAAGAAAACAAACATTACGTCGACGAATCCATTCTAAATTTATCGGGAGTTCATTTTCTGAACATATGGAGGAAGGGGAAAACTACGCGCATATTTTTAAAATTTTCAAAAGCTGGTAATAAAAAGCTAGGTGGAAAAGTACCCTAGAAAATACGGTTTATATGTGTTTCTAAAGTTCTATAACTGTTAAGCAAAATGAGAACTGATGAAATTTAAAGTGATTGGAAAACAATTAATGTTATTCCAAGATTAATTTCAAGACATAATAAACACTGGAATTTCATTAGTAGTCATGCTATTTCATTGTCAACTATTTCATTGCTCTGATTGTTAAACAGTATTTAATCGTAATGTATGGTAAATACATTGTGTTGGTTAAATTACAGGTTGGACAACTCATACTGGTTATTCTCAACAATTATGGAGCAGGTATAGCTGTGTTTTTCTATGCTGTGCTTGAACTCGTAGGAGTAATGTGGATATATGGTCAGTATAACATTTAACTTTTTCTTTGCTTTATTTTTTATTAGCATTTTATTTACCATAAATGTAATAAACACTACCATTTATTTCCAATTTTACAGATTAACTTCTGAAATGTTAAGACACAAAAAACACGCCGAACAAATACTATTTGAGAAGTCAAACAACAAAAATCAGCGTTATATTTACAAAATTTTCACAGGACTAGTTTCGATGGTTTTACCGAACCACCATCTTCAGCTGCAAAACCGCAAATGAACAAGATAGGAAATAATGATTAGATAAGATAAGAAAGCCTGGACAAGAGTAAGCAAGTGGCGCCATCTGTTGGCGAAACCAGAACTAAAAACATAATTTCTCTAAAAGCCGAAGACACAATTTGGATTGGAATTAGGATCGTTTAACTAGAAACAGAAAGATTTTTATGAATGTGAAATGCCTCTAGAAAATCCAGTTGTCCAATGGAAGATGTTTTTTGAATAATTTTAGCAGCAGAAAAAAAAATTGAAAGTGTGATTTTCGGACCAACAATGTTGAGCAAGAGAAGACTTCTGTGTTTCCTTTTTTCTAACATATGCCTCATGTTCTTTGACGCGAAATTTTAAGGCTCTCTTAGTTTGGCCAATGTAAATTAAACCACACTGGCAAGGAATCCTATAAATACCCCAGGAATTCATATCCGGAATGGGATCCTTGAGTATAGAAGTCCGAATTTTATTGATGGGAGAATAAACAACCCGAAAGTTAAATTTCTGCAAAATATGCCAACTTTATAGCTAATTGATGGAAAGAAGGGAATGACAACAGAATTTTTATAATCCCCTAAAATAAGAGTGTGGCTTTTAGTGTGTTGAGATGAGAATTTTTTAACTGCTTGATTAATAATGTTGGGTGAAAAGCCCCTGTCAACAGCTATTGCTTTTAAATAATTTAGTTCTTCATCAAGGGCTAGTTTGGAGGAGCAAACTTGAAACGGAAAAACATAGGAAGCAAACGGAAAACATAGGAATAAAATGAAGCTAACTTTTGTTTAGTCGGATGACATGATTTAAAGTGTGGTGGAAGGCAAACCGATGAAGGTTTACGGTAAACTGTAGTACTGAAGTTGGATGTGTTACGTGTGACCAGAATGTCGAGAAACGGAAGAGAATTGCAAGTCTCAAGTTCAAAAGTGAACTGAATAGCAGGATCAATAGAATTCATTGTTGAAAGAACTTTATTTAAATCATCTTTATTACCTTCAAACAGGGTAAAAGTATCGTCTACGTAGCGGAACCATGCCGGGAAGTTTAAAGTTTCAAACAATTTTGATTCATAATAATGCATGTAGATACCAGCCAGGATGAGACTGAGGGGGCTTCCCATGGCTAATCCCTCAGTTTGCTTTGTAATATTTATTTTGGAAAACAAAATGTGTTTGTTTCAAACAGAGTTGAGTGAGAGAAATTAGCTCATCAATTTCGATGCAAGAGAAATGAAATTCGCGAAGTCTGGTTTCTAGACATCTTAATGCACCCTCCACTGGGACATTGGTGAATAATGATTTTACATCAAAAGAATTCATAAAAATTTTTCTGTTCTAGTTAACGATTCTAATTCCAATCCAAATTTGCCTTCGGCTTTTAGAGAAATTATGTTTTAGTTCTGGTTTCGCCAACATATGGCGCCACTTGCTTATTCTTGTCCAGGCTTTCTTATCTTATCTAATCATTATTTCCTATCTTGTTCATTTGCGGTTTTGCAGCTGAAGATGGTGGTTCGGTAAAACCATCGAAACTAGTCCTGTGAAAATTTTGTAAATAACGCTGATTTTTGTTGTTTGACTTCTCAATTAGTTCTGAAATGTTGTTTAAGCAATGTGCAACAAATAAAAGCAGATAAGGTACTTTTGTTACTTAATTGCTCAGATTCTTTTCAGGAGATTACCAGTAATGCTCTTAGTACACATAGTTCCTAAAACTGAGTCACGTAAGTCACAGTTATCAGATCAGAGGAATTTAAGAGCTGTCGTTAACATGGTGAATACGAGATAATTTGCCTTGGAAAGTCTGATGCGACATCTTCCTTCTTAGGCCTATAGCTCTCGTGCGCTTTTCCAAATTAAAATAAACTGGTATGTAGTTAGCCTCTAACTTCTTCGACAAAATAATAAATGTTAATAAATATTCTACTTAATTTTTCTTGACGCAAAATATACTCTAGAACAGTCCTCCGCAACCTTTTCTCACCTGCGACGCACAAAAAATCTTTCTGGAATTTCGTGGCACACCAAAGAGTTCCGAGTTATCAAGGAAATGCCGAAAAAATTCAAATGCTGACACACTTACAATCACACACACAACCACACAACAGTGAAATATATAAAAACATTTAAAATAGACATTATTAAGGAAAAAAAATTTCATTGTGTATTAAATACACGATAAAAAATTGCAAAATGTCAAATACATGTATTTGATTGCGGCACACCTATATCCTACTCATGGCACACCGGTTGCGGAGCACTGCTCTAGAATCAGATAATGAATGCGGAGGCATCTGGAAAGAGCTGGGAACACATAACTAGTCCAGTAGACCTACCAGCAGGAGAACAGTAAAAGCGTTGAGCACTGGTAGTTCAACAGGGATTTGGATCCCGACGAACTGGCTGGTTGCGTGAGATCTTTCTTGTTGTTTCTCATGTGTAACGCGAATATGAGCCAGTTTTCTTAAAAAGTCATCCATGAAAGCCTCCTTTCCCCCTAAGCAGGTAGCCCATAAGGTATTTCTCTCGCCTTCTTCGCATACTTTCGTGGTGTGGTGGTCTGCACGCTGGGCTCGTATTCCAGAGGCCCTTCGGTTCGATTCCCGTCGAAGTCGATTGTTCATTTTTTCACGCCTCTTGCTTCAAAGAAACCTGATGTCTCTACAAGCCTTCGAGGACTTTGTAATAAATAATCCACTCTAGCCAAGCCAGTAACAGAACTAAGTATCATGTGCTGGCAATGTGATGGTTAGCTTGACTCTCTCTGAAACAGCCCACTGACATTCGAGTATTCATAAGGGGACTGTGACAGTAGAATGATATTGTTTTAGTTCTTGAATTTTTTAATGAGGTTCTACGCTTCAGCGGTGGGTTCAGAGCTTCGTCTGATGAACGATAACGCTGGTCCACAGAAAACGTAAAGAGGCTATCACTTCTAGGGACGCGCGCGGCTACGCGGGACAATTCCGAGAAACGAGATTCTAGTAGCACTGCTTTAAGCGGGAGGCTTCCGAGAAATGTTTCGTCTAGCTAGGAGGAACGTGTCCCGGCTACGAGCAACATTTTAAGAAATCACTCTATATGCGGTCAGATCGTAAATTTAGAAGCCCTTTTTTTACGGGGGTGCTGAAAAGGAGGAGATAATCTTGCTCGTTGTCTTGAGAAAATGTGGGGATCGTTTAAACATCTAACTTTTGTACATTCAGTTTTTATACAGAGAAAAATGCAAATTGAATTCTTCGAATTAATGCAATTTTGTACAATGAAAATATATTATTGAACTATAAACTGTAAGGCAAATAACATCTTTTTTTACAGTAGGAGTAAAAAGACAGATATTTGTTACATCAAACATTGAGTTTTTCATTTTGAATGCTATGTTCCATGTATGCGAAGTAGCTGAGTATCTGAGAAAATAGTCTTAACCCAAATGGCCTTCAACCTTTTCGCATCTAAAGGACTATTTTTCAATTACATTGTGGTCGCGGCTTTTTGGTTAATTTTCTAATGACATATAAACATTAAATTGTTTTTAATTTGGACTTATGAATAAAATAACGCAAACTAGACTGCGGAAAATTCTTCAGAATGAAGTTAATACTGAAAAATACATTTATCCTATTATCCAATTTTATCCTACAAGAAATCTTTTAAAAAGTGTGGAATTAGCAGTGCACTAGGTGGAAATAAGGATGACATTGGGTTTTAGGAAAGTGGCAAATTTAGTTACAGTGACAACCTAAGTGAAAATAACTATGATTTTAGCAACAGTGATGACGAATTTCTGGGATTCTAAGAAACGCTGATGTATTTGCTATTTTTTTAATGCAACAGTTTCGTTTTCGTTGTATAAAGTGTTATCATTAAAACAGGTACTGAATCCTTTTCTGTCTAAGTATTTTTCCCAAGTTTTAACCTGATAAATCACTGCGCGTCTTACAGGCCAGGAAATTGAGGTATAGTATAAATCGCCTTTCATTTCGTATCAGTGCCGACGATTTCGATGAAAAAGGGTAGCTTTTTAAAAACGAACTTCTTAACGAACAAAAGCCGTTTTATGTACAGCATGATGTCTAAAAATACCGTCAAATTAAACAGTAATCTTTACTTTAATGCTTTTGTATGCATTTCTTGAATTGATTAATAAATGTAAATTTGTAATTTAAAAAATGTATAATATTTTATTTAGTTACATGCTAGTTATCTGTGTTATTGCTTCGTTTCTGGTATAGACCCCCCTTCCCAGAAAAAAGCGTTTTGCTCCTCGATTGCGAAAATTTCTAGATTTTCCCTTACTTAACCAGTGGAATTTCCTAGTTCCCCCCCCAATAAAATTACAGCTTTGAGACAACAACTGAGTGAAATATTTGCAGCTATCTACACATAAAATTGAATGTTTACTTAAAAATAAAATATTTCCTAATTTTTGTATCCCTTTTCTAGTTTATATGAAATTTCAAAATTTAACGATATCAGTTAATGAAATACTTGCAAGTAATATAATGGTTCTGCGAAATATATTTTTGATTCCAAGCCTTTACTGCTAGCCATCAGTCCATTGCTCTTAGAATACATTATTAGTCCAAAGGGGCAATTTGCCCAGAAGGATTATTAATTTCATTTTGGCATTTTGCGTTGAAAACTATAAACGGCGAATCACTTTTCAAATTGTTGCCACCAAATATTATCGCCCTGTATTATATTTAAAGAAATTAAATAATGAAGAGTCTGCATGAATGTATGTATGTTTCTCGCTTATGATAAAACGACGGTACCTAGAGCCATCAAAATTTGAATAATGTAATCTTCCATAGAATATCGGCGTGTGGAAGCGCTAATTTGAATTTTAAATTTGTTTTATTATCGATTTCATATTTTATAACACTTCAACGAATTTTTGATTAAGAAACTCAGCGATTTCAAAGCGAGCAATGGCAACACTGTACAAAAAAAAAAAAAAAAAAAAAAAAAAAAAAAAAAAATTATCTCCAGCGCGCGATATTATTTCTGATATACTGATACTGAATGAGACCTAAAAACACTTTTCTTTTAAAATATATCTCCTCTTATGATCCCTGACACAGCCGTTTACTTTCCCCTTCCGTAATTAACGTCAGTCTCTTACTCTTGACCGCATTTCAAAGCCACCCATTTGAAAACTTTTCCGAAAATGTTCCGGCTGGAGACGTGTTCCTCTAACGTTCAACCAGTCAGACGAAAGTTCTCCTTCTGAAGGATCAAGGGTAACTTTCAATATGGCGCTGGCTCTCACTGTGAAGTCATGGACGGTGAAAATAGAGGCCGATTTAATTATTGCTATTTTGTTATAATATAACTGGTCAGCGAGTGCGGTGAACATGTTGTTCATACGCGATTTAACGCATATTCTCCGAACATCAAACAGCATCAAATACATTCGAGATGCTGCTAGGAGAGTTACGTCTGACTGTCATTTTCTGAAATTTATCTAATTTTTTTAAGACTAAAAGTGTCTTTTTACAATTGCACAAATAATTGCCTTTTGTTGAGCTTACGCTAAAATTCTGAACTTATGCTAAAAATTAACTGTAACCGCATCCCATATTAATGACTCTTTGCTTTACTTAGATGACACAATTTTTCTAAATGTTTTAAGGATGCTTCTATTTAGTAGAATAATGATGCAGCTACAATATGCATTAGTTTAAAATTCTGTGACTTATTTTTAGGACTTAAAAACTTCTGCCAGGATGTGGAATTTATGTTGAACAAACCTCCAGGAATTTTCTGGAAAGTAACGTGGGCCTTTACCGCTCCCGTAGCTCTTACAGTAAGTGTTTACTTTATTAAATGCATGAAGAAAATATATCGTTCGCTTTAAAAGTATACCTTATTCATTTCTATATCAGTTTACGAATTACTATTTGAACAAATTAATTCTACGCAAAATGTTAATGAAATATGTCATAATACCTGACTGTACTGTTGTTAGTAACTTAACTGAATACGTTTTCTAAATTCATTAGGTTTGATAAGGGAAGTTATATAATAGAAATAGTCTAGATCTGATTATAGGTCACTCTTTCACTCTGAAAGTAACTTACCTCTTCGAAACGTCATTCATTCGAATAAATAAATTACTAGTTTAAGGGATTCAAAATTGTTATCTTTTTCATGTTAGTTTCATACAGTCGATCGCAAACGTTTTGAAGCCGGGGCACAGGTAAAACATTGCAAATGGATTGTAGGCTCACTATATATAGTTTTTTGAGAAATATATTATAAAAATTAGCTAAAGTATTACGGGAAAAATAACTTGATAAAATATTTAAATGAAACATACTTTAAATTAATTCTTTCTTATGTTTATGTAAAATATGAATCTGGTGTGTCCTTGCGATTTCTTCAATATTTGAGCTTACATTTGAAAGGCAGACACTCATTTTCTCATCAACGCATTGAAGAATTCCTCTTTTTTTATACTTAATTGTGGTGACGGTGTAGAAACTTTTGCGTAGAAACTCTAGTTTTAATTGTAAAAATTGTTTGTTTTTTAATTATTTTAACTGCATTTTGTGTTTTATGTGTCTCCATATTTTTCAACTTTTAATGGAAGTATTTTGTGTTTTTATGTATTTTTGCCTTGCCTCGAAGTGGGAACTGAATTGACTGATTGAGAAATATATATCCGAGGAAATTCGAGAAAATAAGTTTAACAGAAATGCAGCAAAAAATGTGTATAATTCAATAGTCGTCCAAGGAAGTCAATGCGGTGTTCATATCAGATTTTTTAGATACTGACTCATATTTTTCTTTTATAGAAATCTCAGAAGCTTTAAGAGACAGCTCCTTATATTTATCATCAATGGATATAGCTGCCAGTTCTTATCCTTCTGTTAAAGCAAAATCACTTTTATATTCATGAATGGATTTCTGTTGTGTTAGATGATAGAAAATGAGAACTCAGTTTTTCTTTTAAACGTGTTAAATATTTAACTATTATTGAACTGTTTCGTTTATGCCAGTGTTGGTAACGGAAGTATTTCCTAATTACCTTGAACATTTTTTTTTTTTTTTTTCAAATATGTAGTTTTCTCCGAAACGCTTTCGTTTGGTTAGGGGATGTGAGAGTATTTTCGTCTTTCCCTATGATCTCCTGAAATATATCTTTCAAATACTGTTAATTAGCGTAATAATGATATGTTGACAAAAGGAACTGTATATTCGGATTAAAGTGGTCTAATAAAGTAACTATATTTATTCTTATATATGGATAATATTTCTCTGAAATACCACACCGGGAGCATCGGGAATCTTCTACGGCGCTCCACATGAGAGCCACTGATTTATTCTTAGTTAAACATTTTAGAGATGTTGTGCATAGGCCAAAGTAAATAAAATTTAATATGTAAAAATTTTCTTCCAGATAATTTTCATAATCGGCATAATTGATGCTGAATCGACTGTCGATCCGACGCTACCCGACTGGGCATCAGCTATGGGTTGGTTTCTTGCCGCCTTAGCTCTGGTGCAAATTCCTTTGTGGTTCATCGTTGCCGTTTATAGAGATCCGCATATTGGTGTCATAAAGGTGAGTATTACTGCAAGGACTTTTCATTTTTAGAAATGTATACAGCATAAAATGACTTTTGATTTATATGTTGCATATTGCACTTATTTATCTATATAAAGAATAAATTACACAGGGTTATCGGACAAAGATGGACCTGAATTTAAATCACTATGGTTTTGCTTTATCATAAATCAGTCTTCTTAGTTTCCCCTCCCTTTGAGGTGATCCAAAAATCGCGCACATGAAACTTTTAAAAAACTATGCAAATTAGTATTGGTTGATCCGCACCAAAACTGATTCAAAGAACCGATTCCTTTTACTGAGCGACCGAGCGAATTTACTCTGATTGCAGAAAGCGGAATTGCACCTTTTTTACAGTTCGCGGACAACTCTTGTTGGAAATGTGCCAGGAATAGGAATCTGCAGTCTGATTCGCGAAAAAGAGCCCAGACCTTTCTGAAAGCGTGTCAGGGAAGTTCGATTTCCATTTCAGGGGTGAAATAACGTTTATCATCCCATGTTAGAAAGTTAGCTTAGTTTACTTTAATTCCCAACTTTTTGAAAAAATTTTGTTCTGGGAAATTTTATGTAGAAAAGAGGTTTTATTGAATCTCAAACCTATAGCTGAAAGAAACCAATTAGGCCAGTTAACGATTGCCTGTATTCGATTCATCCGATTCTACTCCTCGTTCGATTCTTTTCGCTGACCAATCCCGATCCCATGAGTCCTTCGATTTCTTTCGTTCTTGGCTCCATCCTGACTAACAGCTCTTGATTCATCCCTCGTTCCGGATCTCTTTCATAAAAGCTGTTGTTAGTCAGCGGTGAGTCATAAAAATAGAACTGATTCATTTCAGTGGGCGAACAGATTTGACCCGATTTTGCAGAACAGCGGTTTTGTATATCTCTAATGAAAACTCTAAAGTGGATATTAATGACAAATTGTTTCATGAACGACAAACACCATTATACTATTGCAAGTAATATATCACTTGAAATTTCAGGGGCAGTTTATGCTGTTAGCTTTAGAAACCATTTATGTGGTGAAAGACGGAAATGAAATTTTCTTTAGCCAAACAAATTGTATGGTTGAGCCTTATATCGCAATGCATTTCTACGGAAAAACTGTAAAAGTGTTTAAAAAGAATTTCCGAAATTTTTATGAACCTAGCAAGGCAATGATTTTGCGCTTGTTAACATGACATCGAGAAGCTAGAAGCCTTTACCATAAGCCATTTGATGGTCGCTTGTCTTTGCTCATTTCGGACAAAAGGGACGAACTCAGGAATAAAACTTTGCCATTCCTAACAAAGAGTGTTATAAAGATGGCATTGCAATCAAATTTATGCACTGTATAGTAATGACCATTCACAAAAATTCGTTCTGCTTTGGGAAAAACTCGTTCGGCAAACAAACGATTTTAAAGCTGTTATGTTCTGTGAATAAAGCTTAAATTATATATATTGCCTGTAACAGTGTAGGAATGACATCCGTTGACACAATTTGCCATTAATATTCATTTTGGAATTTCCATAATTTTTTAAAAATTTGATGTGATCCAATATAAAAATATCTGAAACCTATCTAAAATTTGATTATCGGTCCTAAAAGGTAATCTTGACATGTTCAGGAAATTATGCTCAACAGATTTCAGTAGACTGGTCCGACCGATAATACTCTTGGGTCCCCGTATAATGCCAATGATTTTTTTATATGGTGATTTTTCAAGTGCGAGGTGGGCGGTGAAAGAGGCCAAAAACATTTTGTGAAGGAAAAAATATGCCATCTGAAAATTTCAGAGTACGGCCTACACATCAAAGAGTTTAGTTTGAAATTTCAGAAAAAAATTAACGATTAAAAAATACGAAGATGACAAAATTAAACAGAATTTGCTATTTGAATCTTTGTATGTGTATCTTATTTTAGCAGAAATAATTTTATGCTAAGCAGTTACGATATCCCTATTAATTTAAAAATAATCTCCCAAAAAGTAGATATAGAATATAAAAGCTTATGTGAGTGTATTAACATGAATGGTTTAAAATGGCTAAACCAAATCTTCGGCAAAGTATTTGCTGTAATAAAGTAGCCTCACATTTATTTTACTGATTTGCTTACTACCTATCAGCGGCAAAGTCGGGCAATTCCACCTAGGATCGATTCCAGACGAACGGGCTGGTTGCACGGGGGTTTTCGTGGTTTTCCCCATGTGCAACAGCACGATCCAGATTCTCACAGAAAGACCTCCGCGAAGGTGACCTTTTCCTTTGGCAGGTAGCCCTCGCTTGCTTTGCCATAATCAAATGAACCAACCAATCGACGCTTACCTAAACACACTTACCTAAACATTTCCTCGAGGTCTGTCCCTACTTTGATGGATAAAAATATTGATTTTGAAAATCCCTTTTTATGCTATAAAGATTTCGCACAATTATGTAAATCTGTGATGAAATTTATTGACGGTGAGCTCCGGGCAGTGGGAATCAGTTTATGATATTTGCATTTTATTGCCATCACTATTTGGTCTATTTTAGTAATTTGTTGTTACCATTGTTTGTGTTTGTTACTCGCGTTTTTGTTTTTGTCTTTGGGGTTTGCTCTTGTCTAAATGTTTGTATTTGTTCCTTTTCTTCACTTTTATGTTTAATTATTATTTACACATGGTTATTCTCATTTAGATATTTTGTGTTTCATTTTTTCCTTTGTTAAAAGGGGCGTGGCTTGTCATGACCATAAGACCAACTTGTTTGGTTAGGGGGGTCAGGCTGCTCCCGCTACTGATACTGATACTGATACTTACCTAAACACCCCTCGTTTATGGGAAGCTTCCAGAAAATATTTTTTGAAAATTCGAAAGTACGAGTATGTTTTACGAAAATTTGAAAACATTTGCTGTTACTATGGCCGCACTAGACATGATCTTGAATGAGGAAGCCCATATTGAAATTTACTGGTATCTCGCTTGTTTTGCAATAAATGTTGTTAATCTGCCTCAATTACCTTTGAAAATACAAGTGCTTAAAATGAGGCTTATCCTCCTCAACGAGACTCAATTTTGATAACATTTTGGTAGTTACCAAAAGTTTATTTAGAAAAGTTAATTTATCTCAGAAAAAAAAAAAAAAAAAAAAAAAAAAAAATGCTCGAAAGTATCGCGTGAAGAACCGGAAAATAAGCAATCTAAAATAAAAATTTTGCTAACGGTTCGAAGCCAAAACCTTATTAATTGAGCAGGAGAAAAATATCAATATTAACATCGCAGGATAATGTCACATGTGCGTTACGGCTCTGAAAATGTAACAAGGACATCAGCCTTCAATGCGGAAATGCATTTTATCCGAGGACAACAAATTATTGATCGGAGAAAACTTGTGTGAAAAGTCTTCAGAAGGATATGGGAAAGTTTCCTGGGTAGCAAATTGAAACAGGATAGACTATTTTCGTGTGGGTTATTTTAGATACATTACCTGCAGAGGAGCAATTTTCAGTACTCTTGTACAGACATTAGGTATTTTTGAAGTAGGAAAGATGAAAGATGAAAAATGAGCAAAGCTTTTCTCGGGAATCGAAACACGGATCTCTGGAATACGCGCCAGCGTGCAGACCTCCACATTACAAAGGCATGCTAGAAATGCGAGAGAAATACGTTATATACTCCTCCGTTTAAAGGGTAGGGGACCCAATCGCCAAATCCTGCGTGTGGAGATTCATCATCCACCACCCTTTTAATTCGGGCACCACTGTAGAGACATTAGGTATTTTTGAAGCAGGAATGGTGAAAATTGTAAAAAATGAGCAACACCTTGGCCGGAAATTGAACCACGGAACTCTGGAATACGCGCCCAGCGTGTAGACCACCACACCATGAAGGCATGCTAGGAAGACGGGAGAAATTATACTCTAACTTTCATAAAAAAGATATCTTATACTCTAACTTTAATAATGGAAGTTATGAGTAATATGCCATGCTTCAGATAATACTGGAATACTGAATATCTGGAATACCTAATTCGTCGATACTGGAATTCAGCACAAGGAATTCAAACAGTGTTTCGTAGCTATTGAAATTCAGCACAATGGCTCTACAATCTTTCTTTCAAGCGACATCTCGTGAGATCGATTGTTATAGATGGAAAACAATATGGGACTTGAATTCATGGGATGCGCCCTGCGTAGAGTGAACATTCCACAGAATCGACATTGTGTAGCTTCAACCAGTGGTAGATGGAGGCGGTCTGAATGGCGCGGCTGACTTACATTAATAGACTGGTATATCCGTGAAAGTGGACCGTATCCGCAGATACAAAGGTGTCTCGGCACTGAGACACAAAGGTGACATCACTCTTATGAAGTTCTGTGCGTATCATGAAGAACGTAGCCTCTAAGATTCGCGAACCTTCCTGTAGAGATCTAAGTAAACAGTGACCTACCTTTAAATCATTAACTATTTTTCCTCAAGTCACAAAGAGTGACCGGTACTCTTAGAAATTTCAGATATACCATAACGACTTTCATCAAGATGACTCGATACTTATGGCAAGAATAACTAGTTGTCGTTTTTCAAAAACGTTATCGGCACTCTTAGGAATTTATATTTATACCATGAAGAACGCAGCCTTTTTTAACATTACAGAAAAATTTAAGTATAACGCTCCCGATTTGAATAAATATGTGGCAGCTTTTACAAGTTAACTGTTGCTCGTTAAGACATAAGGTGCACCAAGTACCGTTACGCAGCTCAGTTTACACCATGAGGAATGCAACCTTCATGGAAATGGCGGGACGCTCATTTAAAGGTCTTTATTTTAGTGAATAGTCACCCCCGAAGTCAATAACGGTGCCCGCACCCTTATATAGTTCAGTTTTTAACACGGAGAAAGTAACTTCCATCAAAGTGCCCGTACATGTTTTCTGTCTTCGCGAAATCTTCATAAAGGTGTTTGTGCTTTTTTTAGACGAGTGGATTACTGTTTACCGACGATGCTCTGGCATAAAGGTGTCCGGAACCTTATAAAGGCGGCATTTTTATTCAAAATGGTACCCCTTTATAAGTTTATAACTTGAAGAAAATTTGATCGCTTCGCTGGGATGGACAACATTTGATGTATGTCACAAGCATTTGATCGGTGCCTGAGTTGGACATCAGCATAGGATAAGCACACTGGCATAGATCCGACACTGCGTAGGAGTCGTAGCGTAGAAGCTGCCTTTGTTGGTTTTTACTATGGAACTGAGGTGGATTATAGAATGTTTAAGTTGAATATATATAATTCAGTTTTCCAAGCAGAAAGTGATGCGTTCAAACAAGCCTTATTATGAATTAAAAATACCTTGTTTATACCCACGCCTGTAAATATTTACATTGACTGCCTGTCACTTCTCCATGCGCTCTCCCTCCCAGACAGTTTCAATCCATTAATTGTCGAAATTAAGAGTAATTTAGAAACTTCATTAATAATTAAATATTAAGTTCATAATTAAAATATTAAGTTCATAATTAAATATTAAGCTACATTGGATTAAAGCCCATATAGGCTTTATTGGTAATGAGAAGGGCCGACAGGCTGGCCAAGCGGGCGATCTCAAATGGCAGTGCAATGGATATTGAAGTAACAGGTTCGAAGAGAATTGCTATTCGAAGAATGAAAGAATTTTACGTTAACAAATGGAAAATACAGTGGTTCTCTTCACCTAAAATCAAAGGATTTATGGAACTAATTAAAATCACGAATAAAATAAAATGTATGAACAATATTGATGTTAATATGGTAGGTTTCCGTTCTATTTCAACCGATTTAATCTGCAGGAAAATAAACTATGTAATAGTTTTCAGGTTGATGGTGATGCTAGGCATTTTGTGGATGATTGTAGTTTAACAGCCCCTATTAGACAGATTTTTTAACATTACTGATTTTAATGCAAATGTCATTAATTTTAAAGCTTTTAAATCATATTCTATAGCTTTAATGAAGTTTATCGATGAAAATAGGGCGCTGGGAGGAATCTTCTGTTAAAATTGAATTTTGTATTTAGATATCTGTGGTTATAGATATCTGTGTGTATACTATGTTGTGAATTTGTGTTTATGGATTTTTTGTTTGTTTGTTTGTTGGTCTGTAATTTTGTGTTAGATGTGCTTATTTATTTTTGATTTAGTATTTTTGTTTGTTGTTTGGGGGTGGCTGGGTTACTGGCTGCACTCGTTTGGGGAGATACGGGGCCCCTTCTTTTGAGCTATGGGGACACTTGTGTCCGGGTGGGCTGAAGGGAGCCTCCAATTCTTACAATTCTTACTGCGTAGAGTCGGCCTAGGATCGGCAATGGCATGTAATCGACATTGGCGTAGATAAGGCTTGTTATCAGCATTGACAAATAATTTAAGAAAATTTCATTTTAAATAATTATTTTTTGGGGTATCTGCCCAGGATGGACATCAGCGTAGAACTCATGCTGGTTTAGAATGAACACCGGCATGGGATAGTAACCGGTTTTGAGCTGCCGGGCCGGCAGAGAAGCGGTCAGTCCATCCTATCAATGCCGTGATCCTATTAATGCTTTGATCTTATGTCGTGACGGGATTCCTGCAGCCATTAGCACCCACAGCAAATTCCTTGAGACAAATCTAGCGAGAGAAAAAGTTTAACGTTAATGATGAGTTTTTCTTAATAACGATGCGAAACAGAAATATATATAATAAATATTTTAGCATATTCATTTTCTTCATTTTGGATATAATTTATTGCCACCTACAGTTTTTAATCATGAAATAATATCGCAAAATATTCAATTCCTTTTCAGCTTCTTTATGCTGCTGTAATGAGTTATTAAAATACAATTTCGTAAAAGACGAGAAACAAATAATTGATCATTCCGTATCGAAGTAGGGGAGATAAGAAATTTTCTATTACTCTTGTCAGATGTTTATGATATTGGTAATATGATTTAATAAAAATGAAGGAAAAAAGAAGTACTGCTCTCCATTTAATAATTTCCTAAAATAAATACTTTAACGTTATATAATTCATTAAATACGATAAATTCATTACGAAAAATTGATAAATTCATTATAAAAGAATGGAATAAGTTCTTCATATTTTTGGCATGATTATAATAACATTTCTTCATTTCCTGTTCGTATTTCTATAACAATAAACGACATTTTATTAGACTGATTTAAATATTTGTATCTCAAATTGTAAATATATTTGCCATTTCGGAGGAGGATACATGAGAAATCAACCAAGCCATTGCCGGGGTTACATCCACTTATCTTTCACGACTAGCAAGAAGCGTGAGACCAGTCGACCATGAGCAAATGGGGGTGAATTTTTGACCGAGTTACTGTATGTCCGGCGTACATAGCCAGGACATCGCTTTCAGCGGACTGTTTCGGCTAGAAAACCTCCTATTTATACCAACTGTGGAAGAAACTCATTTCTCAGAAAAGTTTCTTCTGGCGTCATGCACCGCTAGATGTGATAACCAAGTATTTGGAAGCACGTCGGAACAACAATCGAAAGGTCCAAAGTTTGAGTCCCGGTGACAGCATCATTGATTTTTTTATGTTTCCCGCCCCGAAAACTTTACCCTCTCTTGTTGTTTGACACTCGTTTTATTATTTATGATTTCTTTATGTCTTCAAACCTTAAATATATTTTGGTCCTCTCTGAAACAACAAAGGAACCAAAACTGTGGATACAGAATATATCTTCAATACTGGAAATTAATTTTGTATGAAATCATAAATTTCCTGCCTTCTCTTCTTTATTGGATATCTTCTGGATCAAGGAGTTTGCATTTCCATTTTACTTGAAATCTGAAGGAATGTTTATCTGAAATAATTGGAGTTCATGGAATTTTCAGAATTTCTTTTGGATAAATATATTACTCCAAATCTTTCGCACAATTGAAAAAAAAAACTGTTGTAAATTTTTACAAATATTTTCTTTTATTTATTCGTAATTTAGGTTTTATATACTTTTGTGGTATTATGTATTGTTTTTATTTATTTATTTAGAACACTTTATGTAATTATTTAATCTTACATGTTTGTTTTATCGCATGTGTAGTAACCACTTTTGTTTGTATGCGTATGTTTTGTGTATTATGCTATAAGGTTAGGGTTATTATTTAAATTAATTAATTATTTATAATTTCAGCCCTTATTGTTAATTCTCCTTTCCGTTTTCTCACCAGAATTGTAAATGAGTTAGAGAGCATTTAAACTGAGGTTTTTGCTAGTATGACAGAGCGTGTTTCTGTACCTCTTTGGTCGTGTTTGTAATTATTCGGCCTTATTTGCTGCCGATATTTGAATTTGATACGCCGGCTAGAGTATTTGGCCAGCTTAGATTTAATTTAACTACGTAGTCCTTGAGCACCAGTCTACGTTTTAAATTTTGAATTTGGCTGTTATTTTGTTGCAAGGTGTGATTGATTCTGTTAGCACGAGAACGTGCATTTTATGTTCAAAGACTGTGTTTAAATAAAAAGATTTACTTAAAACCTTTCCATGATTCTGCAGTTCATTTCAGACACAGCGAAAATTCGCTTTATATTTATGAAGTGTTTGGAACTAGTTTATGTTCCTGAAAGAAGCCAAACTCTACAGTAATGTAGATTGTGAAATTCTGAATAGATCAACGTTTGAATTGTAAATATAGCTTAATGAGAATCAGAGATATTAAACCCAATTGCCGAATTTTTATCAATTTAAGGACATTCTGCAATTTCCCAGAAAATGCATTTTCGAAGGTCTAGATGCTTGTTTTCTCGAAAATAAGATACTACGTTTTGAAACTCATTTATTATTAATTTTTTAATTAAAAATTACAATTATATTTCCCTCCCCTTTTCCATTTTAGAAAGTTTTGAGTGCCTTAAAGCCCGCTGAAAATTGGGGACCGAGTGATCCAGTGCACAATGCTGATTGGAGGGCAATGAAAATGGCTGCACGCAAAGACAAAATTCCGGTGAATTTTGCATCAACTGTATCTGCTGCATATCAAAACCAGTCGTACAAGGAAGATGTATTTTGAAATCATCTGAATGCAGATTTTAGATATATTGAAGTTTACAATCTTACTATGTTTTATACTATTAAAGACTTATGGAACATCCTTTTTTATTTGTTCATTGTTTTAATACGTTATGTCCTATATATTCGGATATACAGTTTTGTAGAATTAAAGAATGAGATGTTTCAATAAATTTTATTTAAGATTGTACAGAGCTCCCAAGAATTATCTTTGCAATTTAAAGTTTTGATGCATTAGATTCTAAAGCTGTATACATAAGACGCCGCTTAATGCGATTGCGGTTAATGTTATCATTCGGATATTTATTTAAGATTGTACAGAGCTCCCAAGAATTATCTTTGCAATTTAAAGTTTTGATGCATTAGATTCTAAGCTGTATACAGAAGACGCCGTTTAACGCGATTGCGGTTAATGTTATCATTCTGATATTTTATTTAAGATTGTACAGAGCTCCCAAGAATTATATTTGCAATTTAAAGTTTGATGCATTAGATTCTAAGCTGTATACAGAAGACGCCGTTTAACGCGATTGCGGTTAATGTTATCATTCTGATATTTTATTTAAGATTGTACAGAGCTCCCAAGAATTATCTTTGCAATTTAAAGTTTTGATGCATTAGATTCTAAGCTGTATACAGAAGACGCCGTTTAACGCGATTGCGGTTAATGTTATCATTCTGATATTTTATTTAAGATTGTACAGAGCTCCCAAGAATTATTTTTACAATTTAAAGTTTTAATGCATTAGATTCTAAAGCTGTATACATAAGACGCCGCTTAATGCGATTGCGGTTAATGTTATCATTCGGATATTTTATTTAAGGTTGTACAGAGCTCCCAAGAATTATCTTTGCAATTTAAAGTTTTAATGCATTAGATTCTAAGCTGTATACAGAAGACGCCGTTTAACGCGATTGCGGTTAATGTTATCATTCTGATATTTTATTTAAGATTGTACAAGCCAACGGAACGTGACCACCACCCCTTACTATTAAGTTAATTAGCATAGTGTCACGCCCGCCCTTATCTTGAGTATGACCCGTGATGCCTCATGGGTGGCTCGCACCGCGCGCCCAAACCCAACGCCTGGACCGTCCGGTTGGCAGTTCTACGAATCTAATGCCACCGGGTTGACGCTCATTCTTACTGCCCAGGTCCAGTATTCATTGAATAACCAAATAGTTAAGTAGTACATGGCCGAACTGGGCTGAAAATATATTTGCTTGTAACATACAATTTCCGAATTGGTGCATGCCTGTGTACAGATATTACAAATTACATACCTGTGTGTGTGCACCTTACATTTTTGTACATAATACATTTCGATGCTTGTTAACAGTCACATGCTTATGAGAGTACAAATTACATAATACATTTAGATACTTGTAGCTGACACATGAGTATGATATTACAAATTACAATTAAATACATGACACGTTGGTATGCTTGTTACAGACAAATGGGCATGAGAAATGCTTTTGTTGGCTGTCAGTGTGCTAGCATGTGCATAGTTTTACCCGGAGTTATGCTGCTGAATATCTGAGATTATTACTTAATTTTTTTTTTCCGGTGATTGATACCTTGAGGTATCGCTCTCAGTGTAGGCGAATATTGTCTTTGCTGGGTGCGTTTTGCACAGACCATTTCATGTTAGATATTCATTAATGGGTTACACTTGGCATATTTCAGTGCCCATGTCCATTAGCTTTTTTATGATCTTTACTATAGCCTTGCTGTGATAGTTGTGCTTAATTAGGAACCTTCTAAAGGCCTGCTCGTTGTTCTGCGGGTACGGAAAGTGCATTCCTTCTGTAAGCGGGCACTGATACAAATAGTGTTCTGCTGTGCCCAATTCACCGCAGCTGCATTGTTCTGAGTTTGATATTCCAAATCTCGCAAAGTAAGCAGGAAAGGGCCCATGCCCTGCCTGTAATATAGTATACCATTTGCGGCCGTGTCATTATGAATTCAGAGTCTACTTTGGGCAGCAGTGCATGGGCTCGGCGGCCGGTGTCCGCATTGTCCCACGCCGTCTGCCATAGTAAGTGAGCTGCATCTCTCAATTTCCGTTTGAGGTAGGACACTGGCTGCGGTATTTCTATCTGTGCGGCCTCCATGTTCTGGGCGGCTTCCTTAGCTAATCTATCAGCTGTCTCATTGCCGGAGTTTCCGACATGAGCTCTCGTCCATTCCAATGTTATTCTCATTTCTTGGTTTCGACGTAAGTTTTCCTTTTCCTGTATACCCTCTATGATTGGGGAGCTGTGGGCGGGATTGAGGACAGCATGCAGGGTTGACTGACTGTCCGTAATGACACGACTGCAGGGGCGTTCCCGATGTATAATATCTTGTATTGCGTTACTGATGGCAGTGGCCTCGCTTTGGAATACGCTGTTCTGCGCTGTTAGGTGCCCCTTCCATAGATTGACAATATTATCGCCTTGGAATGCCACATATGCGCAGCCGACCCTTTCATCGATCTTGGAGCCGTCTGTATAGTAAGTATATGCGGCTTTAGCGGATCTTAGATTCTGCCGAAAGTTGACGTGTACTCCAGTGCCATGCTGCGCGGGATGCGTGTCAAGGCGATTGAGGGACTGCTCTATTTCGTCTGCCGTAAATGTTTCCTCACCGTATTGTACTACCTGCCCCAGCTGTCTGATGGATTGATATATACTACTGCTTCCTTCTCGACACTAATGTGTAGAGGTAGCAGGCCTGCCAGGACTGTCAGCGCATTGGTTGGCGACGTTCTAAAAGCCCTCGTTATGTTTAACAGGAATGGCCTTTGAAGGCTCTGCAGGTGCTTCACCTTTCTGCCTTGCATCGGTAAGGCCCAGACAGCTGCACCATACGTCACGATCTTTTCTGTGACAGTTGAGTATAATATCTTAAGTATGTGAGGGTTGATTCCCCAACGATAACCCTTCATCATTTTAAGCTGCTGTGCTATGCTGGCGGTGCGTTTTTTTAACGAGAGCACATGTGGCATCCAGTTGAGCTTATCATCAAATATAATTCCTAGATATTTTAGTTCTCGCTTGATGGCGAGACGCTCCCTTTTTCGGTATTAATAACACCTGTGATTTTTCTTCCGCTATCTGCAGTTTGAGTTCGGCACACCTCGCTTGGAAAAGGTCGCATGATTCTTGACAATTACGTTGTAACTGTTCTCTCGAGTGGCCCTGTACCAATAATGCCGTGTCATCAGCATATGCTATGATTTTTGTATGGCTTGGCCACTGCTCTGTTAAGATGCTATTAAACGTCAGATTCCATAAGAAGGGTCCCGCGCAGGATCCCTGCGGGCACCCTCTTGTCTGCTTTTTGTGCAGGAAACCTTTGTTATGCGGCAGGATTAGCTGTCGTTCCGAGAGGTAATTTTCTAATGTCCGATAGATGTTGGCCGGACAGCGTGATTTCCTTAGGGCTCTCAGAATTGCCGGCCACCACAGCGTATCAAAGGCGCTTTTTTAGGTCGACTGAGATAAACGCAGTGTGGTGTCCGGATAGCCTATTTTGCACAATGGTCTCTTTTACCTTCATAAGAGCATGAATGGTAGATTTGCCCGTGCGGAACCCATATTGGTTCGCGCTCAGGTAATTACTGATGTGGAGGTGGTGCCTAAGCCTATTCATTAATAGTTTTTCATATGTTTTTCCTAATGCCGAGAGTAGACATATCGGTCTGTAGGCATTAGCCTGCTTCGGATCCTTGTTCTTTTTTAGGAAGAAGATGACCTGGCCAATTTTGAAGCACCTGGGGAACGTGCCAGTATTCAGCAGCTTGTTAAACAGATCTTTGAACAAGGTGATGTTGGTTCTCACTATAACTTTAATGATACGGTAGTCTACCCCGTCCGGCCCAGGTGCTTTCTTTTGCGGCAGGCATCTTAGTACTTGTAATATCTCTTGGCTTGTAAAGTTGACATCCTCTGCCGTGTTTACCTCCGTGGTGTCTTGTCTGATTGTCTGGTGAGCCAATGTATCCTCTGAGGGATCGTCCTTTGCAAAAACTGTGCTAATGATTTCTGCTAACGTGGCTTCCGTTGGTTGTTCCGTGTGATCAGAGACAGGTAGAAGATGGAAAGAAGCTGGTTTGAAAAGTTTGCTAGTGGCAATTTTATGATGAATGCCGTAAACTTCTGTGTTGTCTGTGCAAAATCTTCTCCAGCTGTCTAGCTTGGCTTGCACGATCATGCGTTTGTACCGTGCTCTCTCTCGCTGGAAAGTAATGAGCGTGTTAGATTGTATATTGTTACGACGGCGCTCCTGTTTTAAACGTCGTCTGAGGGCGCGACATTTTTGCTGCTGCTCTCTGAGATTTCTATTCCACCAGCTGAGACCCGTGACCTTTTTAGTCTTCCGGATTGGCAACAGCTCGTTGCATACTGTCCTTATTGTGGACATCAGGTTGCTTGTGATGTCGTGGAGTTCTTCAGTTGTTGTTGCCTGTGCTATCATTTCATTGTAGGGGGCAATTCGTGGTTTTATTGCTGATATAAACGGTCTCACCTTGCTGCCTGGTAGATTGTATCTTTTGATGATTGTTGTGGCTGTATCACTGGCTATTGAGAATCTTATATAGTTATGGTCCGAGAGGCTTATGTCTTCTACTACTGTCCAGTCATGTATCATTTGCGCAATCTGCAGTGTAGCGACTGTGAGATCGGGCCATCCCCTGGAGTGGATACGATCGAAGGTAGGTGCCGCGTCTTGATTGTTGACCACACTCAGATTACTGCTTGACAAAAAGTCTTCTAGCATTCTCCCTTTTGGATCTGTACTGGCATATCCCCAGGTGGAGCTATGCGCATTAAAGTCTCCAGCGCATAATATGTTGAGGGACGTGTGTCGCTGCAGTAGCTGTTGCATCTGCTGAATAGCTGTCTCTAGGTCTGCTGACGGTGGTGAGTAGAGAGATATCAGGATGACCGTTAAATTTTGCACCTCCAGGAGTACTGCGACAAAGTCTCGTTCCACCGTAATGATAACCGGCGTCCAAGCTGGGTTACAATTGATGATAATTGCTCGGGGTGGTTCATTTTTGTCTACTTTTTGATATACCGTCC